AATTCAAAGTGCTAGGAGAAGAAAATTTCTAGTTATCCTGAGAGAAAAGGAAATGTTTGATTATCCTGAAGGAAAAGCAAATTGATAGATATCCTGGGGGGAGAAGAAGCTTTTAATTATCCTGAAAGAGAAGGAAATTTCTGATAATCCTGAGGCAAAAGGAAATTTCTGGTTATGCTTAGGGAAAAGCAAACTCAATTCCCCTGAGGGTGAAGGAAAAGAAAATTTCTAGTTATCCTGAGAGAAAAGGAAATGTTTGATTATCCTGAAGGAAAAGCAAATTGATAGATATCCTGGGGGGAGAAGAAGCTTTTAATTATCCTGAAAGAGAAGGAAATTTCTGATAATCCTGAGGCAAAAGGAAATTTCTGGTTATGCTTAGGGAAAAGCAAACTCAATTCCCCTGAGGGTGAAGGAAACTTCAGCTCATCCTGAGCTATAACAACATCGTGGATTTCCTGAGGGAAAACTCCCTGTTTTTTCAGAGGTGGAAGTCAAATCCTGCTTTCCCTGATGGAAACCTCCTCCCAAGCCCCCAAACCTTTCCCCCTGTTCCCCCATGACCCTGTTCTTCCCTGTCTCCCAGGTTGATCCATGCCGGAGCAGGAGAGGCTGCGGCGGCTCCTGAGGCAGGTGCAGGAAGGCAGGTTGGATCTCCTGAGGGATCAGCTGCATCCAGGGGACATTCCAGAGGCAAACAGCTGGCGCTGGGGACGTCTAGGAGACACCTTGCTGCACCATGCAGCTCGCTCCGGGCACCTGGATGTGCTGGAATACCTTGTCCAGGAGCTTGGGATGGACGTGGAGGTGGTGAATGGGGACTACAAGAGACCTATCCATGAAGCAGCTTCCATGGGGCACAGGGAATGTGTGGCTTTCCTCCTGGAGAGAGGAGCGAGTGTGGATTGCTTGAAGAAGTCTGACTGGTAGGTCGTGGGGTGTGGGGGGAGAAGGTGGGAATGGGCCTGCAGGAGGTGGCATTGGGAATCAGGGAATCACAGGAAGGACCTGAAGGATCATCCAGTTCCAACCCTGACACCTCCCACCAGCCCAGGTTGCTCCAAGCCCCATCCAACCTGGCCTGGAACACTCCCAGGGATGGAGCAGCCACAGCTGCTCTGGGCAACCTGTGCCAGTGTCTCACCACCCTCCCAGCCAGGAATTCCTTCCCAATATCCCATGTGTCCCTGTCCTCTGGCAGTGGGAAACCTTCCAAAACGAGCAAAAGGTTCTCCCCAACCCCCAAGTTAGAGCCCAGGGAGGTCATTTAAAACTGAACTGACTCAAATCCAAAGGCAGCATCCCAGCCTTGGGATTCGTACAGGGAGCTATGTCCTTCCTAGAGCACGTCCCATCCTTTGGAAAAAGGCTCATTTGCCTTAAAAATAGACACTGCTCTGAGGTATTTCTGGAAAAGGAGCTGCAGTCCTTATTCCCTGCATGGAAAAACGTGTCCATGTGCCTCAGGTGAAGTACCTGAATCCAGGTGGGACATCATGCTCCTACCTCCCTGTCTCCCAGGTTATCCTATCCACTTGGATTCCCTTCCAGGACTCCCCTCATGATGGCTTGCACCAGGAAGGACCTGGAGGTGATCAAAACTCTTGTGGAGCATGGAGCAAACCCACTGCTGAAGAACAAGGATGGCTGGAATTGCTTTCACATTGCAAGCAGGGAAGGGCATCCCCAGGTGCTCCAGTACCTGCTGGAGGTGTCCCCAGGCAGTTGGGACACAGAGAGCACCACAAAGAGGACACCTCTGCACACAGCAGGTATGGAGTGTCCCTTTGGAACCAGCTGGGGTGGAGTGGGAGAAGGGAAAGGGGATGTTATTCCACTTCATGTTCGCTTTGGAGAAGCAAAACCACAGGGAAACAAGGAGTGGTGGATCCATCCAGGAGCACTTGTGATCCTCCCCTCGCTTTGGCCTCCTTGGATCAGGGGTTTTGTCTCCATCTGTGCCTTCTTGTCATGGATATATCCAAGCTTCCATGTCTTGGAACACACTTTTCCTTGCTGGAGTGTAAAGCTGTGAATTACACTTGGAAGATCTGGAAGGTCCCAGGCTCTGTGTCCCAGGTCTTGGCAGTGTCTCCACAGGAGAGATGAGCATTGGCTTCCCAAACCCCTTTCCCAAAGAATTTAATAGGGATTGACTCTCTGGAAAGACCTGAGGTGCTGTGCAGGGTCTCCCTGCTGTGCTGTAATGAATCTGGTGGCTGTGCTGCTCCTTGGCTGTCATTCCCATTCCTTTTCCAGCCCTTGCTCTGCCACCCTGTGCTCATCAGCAGTGACAGTCCCAACCCTTGGGCACTGACTGCACCTCAGTCCTTGGGCTTGACCTGGGAATGACAAGCAGATGATGAGTTGCTTGATGGTTTGGGCTGAAGGGCTTGAAGCAGCTTGTCTGAAATGGCTAATCCTTAGGGGTTTTTGTGTGTTTTCCTGACCCTGCTCAATCCCAGGCCTTGTGTTTCCCTGTCTGAGCTCACAGCTCCCTCTCAGCCCTCTCCCTGCAGGGTGTTGGGTTGGGATCTGAGGGTTGAGGCTCTGGAGACAGGGTCAGGAGCAAGGTGAGGACTGTCCTGTGGTAGAATAGTTTTGGACCTTGAACTGGAAGTGCTTTCTCTGCCTTGTAGCGCTTGGGATATGGGAGTAGAGATCATTGGGATCTAGCTCCTGGTTCTCCTGCTTGGGATGCAGTTCCTGCTTCTCCTGCTTCACAGAGGTGTCTTCACCTCTGTCTTGTCTCCTATGTTTGACTTCCCTTTGGCAAAGCCACCAGTCCATTATTTGAGTTCATTCCTGGTCATTTTGCTGATCCAGGCTAAATCCTGCACCGCACACTGGAGCAGCAGCTGCTGTGGAAGCAACTGGACAGTGGGAAGAGCTGGAACTGCCTAACCCACCTTTACCCCTGGTATCATTTGCCCCCCAGGATGATACTGGAGGCTGCTGGTACCAGTATCCCACACCCCCTCCCACATATCCCACTTACAGCCCAGCTCTGGAGGCAGAGCATTGATGAGGAGGGGCTGGAGCTGCCAGGGGAAATCACATCAAGCCAAACTGCCATATCCATGACTTTCCATCCCAAGGGTGTGGATATGAGCACATTACCCCATGACCAGGCCAGCTGGCTTCCTGGCACAGTTATCCTTGAATACATGAGGGCTCATTTTCTGTTGGGGGTTGATTCCTTAAGCTTTGGTGCCTCGTGTATCTGTAGCCTGAGGCAGGAAGGAGCCAGGGAGAGGCAATTAGAGGATGTGGAGTGCAGCAGTGGATCTGAGCTTTGCAGCTTGTGTCTCTCTTGCTGGTAGAGGTTGTAGTCCAGTTGCTTGGGGTGGTTTTCTTCTTCCCATAAAGCCTCTATTTCCCAAATCCCTTTCCCAGCATGGCTCTACCTATACTTCCATCAGCTCAGGTGATAAATGGACAGGGAACAGGAGCCAACAGCCAAAATCTGGGAGGATGAGAACCCCTCCTTGGGCTTCCAAGCGGCATCTATTGTGCTTCAGCTGTGCCTGAAGGTTGTTGCTGGCAATACACATTTGCCAGGGGCTTTTTTTTCCCATCACCTGATGGATCAGCTCCAGCCTGTTGGATATTTTGCTCTTTAGTATATTCCATTTGTTTTGCAAAATGACCTGGGCGGGGGGAAAAACCCCATCCAACCAGATCAAGGCTGTAATGTGTTAAAGTGTTTAAAACAGAGGATAAAAAAGAGGCTATTTCAGTGCCTGATGCTCAAATCCTCCCCCACTGTTTGGCCTCTGACGTGGTGTCTGGGTGAGGATCCTTCATCAAGATGATGAGCTGGGAGTGATGGGAGTGGCTGGAAATGCCGTGCAGCTCTTCTTTCCCAGCTCCCTGCTTTGTGTTCCTTCTGCTTCCCCCAGATTTCACTTGAGGGATTAACAGATCCTTGCAAGAGAAGCTCTTTGTGTCAGTTTGATTGTGTGTGAACTCTCATGTGTGTGCTCTACAGGTAGAGGCAGAGACAGTGCTTATATCATGGCTTTTCCCTGGTTTATCTCCTGTTTTCCTACGGGATCAGGGCAAGGAATTGCTGTTTTAATTACATCCAAAACATCAAGGCAAAAGCTGAGATTTTACAGCCTCTTGGAACCCTTTGGCTCATCATGATGAAGCCAGAAGGGGCAGAAACCTGATTGTGTTGTGTTGTGGCACCAAACCAGAACTGACCCACGTATTCCCTCTCTCTCCTAGCCATGCACGGCTGTTCCCAGGTCGTGGAGCTGCTCCTGGAGCGGTAAGCAGCCTCCCTGCAGCTCTCCCCGCTGCCTCCCCCACCTCCCATCCCCTCCGGGCTCGCTCCAGCCGCACAAAGGCTGTTTGTGCCATTCCCTTAGGGAAGCTGAGCGGCACAGCTGCCCTGCAGGCAATCCCGAGCCTCTCTCCTCATCCTCCGCGTTTTTCCCAGCTGGTTAGGGGCTTTGGAGACAAGGACTCTCCGGGGATGGGCTCCCATGGGCTGTGGCTTGGGGATGACATAAGCCCTGGTTACATAACTCAGCTTTTTTTCCCCCTGCTGATTCATTGCTGTTGTCTCATTCCCGATGTGGCTGAGGACATATGACAACAGCAAAACAGCTTTGTGGCAGCTCAGTGCTTGGGTGCAGCTTCTCAAGGCTGGGTTTAAGCTCCAGGCTTTATTCCCAGGCCCTGGCTCCTGGGAGAATGCTGTGAAGTGGCTTTAAGTCAGCCTGACCCTGTTCCCTTCCTAACTGTTGAAGCTGGAGCAGCTTTTCCTGAGCATCACAGCGACAGCTTCCATAGCCAGCTCATCCCAGCCTTGTTAATACCTGTCCCTGCTTGGTCCAGCTTAAGGAAGTCTTGGGATTCAAGCCAGGCTTTCAGCTTTCATTCAGTTTTCTCTCACTCTCAGTGAGGTTTGTGGGCTCTGATTTTGTGCATCATCCCATGAGGATCTGTTTTTTCCCTCTACCAGTGCACATCTTTCCCCTTCTAAAGACTCTCTGCTCAGGGGGAGAGGGAAATATAGATGATCCATAGAGGCCTTCCTCGCCCAAATGAGCTGAACCAGCTGAATGCCAAATCTCTGACCCCCAAAATACCTCATCAAGCCATACCCCAGGCCCTTAAACACCACAGCAGGTTTATACAAGATCTGTGCAAAGACTTTCTATCTTCCATTTTTGATCCCAGCTGCTGATATTCTCCTTCAGGAAGGATTTGGGAGCTGCCAACTCTGTCCTCACTGTTGTCTTCTCCCCCAGGTGCCAATACAAACCTGACAGCAGAGACAAGTGTGGAGTCACTCCCTTCATGGATGCTATCCAGAATGGACACGTCAGCATCGCTCGGCTGCTCCTGGAAAAACACCAGGTGAGTGCCAGAAACATCACCTGCCTCCTCCAGGACCTGACCTAGAGCTGCCAGGACAGGTTATCCATGTGTTCACCATAACCATGTTGTGAAGGAGCAAATGCCCAAACTGCAAAGAAAGGAACTGTGAGGGAAAGGCAAATTCCTCCTGGAGATGAACAAGGTTTTGCAAAGGTCACCAGGATTCAGCTCCAGGTGAAGATCTCACCCTGGGAGAGGAATCATGGAATAATGGGATGGTTTGAGTTGGAAGGACCTTAAAGTCCATCCAGTCCCACCCCTGCCATGGGCAGGGACACCTCCCACTAGCCCAGGTTGCTCCAAGACCCATCCAACTTGGCTTGGAACACTTCCAGGCATGGAGCAGCCACAGCTGCTTTTTGGACAACACATGTCCCTAGAGCTGGTGAAGAAGGCTGGTGACCCCAGGCAGTGGCAGGAGGGGACAGGACATGCCCAGCACTGCAGGGACAGCTATGTCAGAGTGAAAAGCAGTGCCAGGACTCAGCCTGGAGGCTCTTGTGGCCACACTGAGGGTGGATAGCATGGAAACATCTGGCTGTGTGTTACCAGAGCTCATCCCTGGCCTCCTCCTCCTATGGCAGCTGGTGCTCCACTGTTGTCTCCCACTAAGCTCCAATTTCCTCCAACACACAAGCCATAACAGGGATGACATTAGAGCCAATTGTGCAGAGCAGGAACCAGAGCACTGCATTATTTATTGAGTGCTGAGTGATCTGAGCTGCTTGGAGCTCACCTCAAGGCTGATTCTCACTGAGCTGAAGTTTGCTTATGGTTTTAGTCTCATGTTTCAGGCCCTGAAGGTGGGAGAGTTGGTTTAATTTCCTCCTTATGGTGCTGCCCTGGCTTATGGCCATGAAACACTAATGGCAGTGTTGGGACCTTCTAGGTGTGATACAACCCTGAGTTAGGCCCACCAGACCTCAAGACACTGAGATATCCTTTAGGAGCAGTTACTTCCATTCTCTTTCTTGATTCCAGGCCTGTCCTACAGCCATGGATGCATTGGGTGCTCAACCTCTGCACAGAGCAGCTGTCACAGCCCAGGATGGAGCCATCCAGTTCCTTGTCACTGAGTTGGGTGTGGGTGTCAACGGGAGAGCAACATCCCAGGAGCTCACAGCTCTGCACTATGCAGCCAAGGTTTGTCCCATTCCCAGGCTCCCTCAGCAAAGGCAGGAACCTCAGACAGGCTGTTTGAGGGGTTTGTGAGGGAGAATTTGCTTTCTTGGCTCGTCCTCTGCTGCTGTGCATCTGCTCCTGACCCTGTTTGATGGGCATCAAAAGAGGTCTGGGCAGCAGTGAGGGGATTGTGTCCCTCTGCTCCACTCAGGTGAGATCCACCTGCAGTGCTGCTCCAGCTCTGGGCACCAACAGCAGGAGGATGTGGAGCTGCTGGAAAGAGTCCAGAGGAGGCCACAGAGATGCTCCAAGGGCTTTCCTGCTCTTTTTCCCAGCCCTGAAAGTGTATGTCCCAGCAGGTCAGTAGCCTCTCCATGTCAGCATCTTGCTGGCCAGGAGATGTCAGGACATGGGAAAGGAGAGGTGGAAAGCTGGAGGGAGCTCTTGTGTGCTTATCTGCGTCCTTCACACTGGAGCTGTTTGGGATTCCAGGCAGAGCTTTCTCCTCCTCCCTGTGTGGAAAGCAGGGCCTGATGTGCTGTGAGTCCCACAACACTCCTTGGGAGTGCAGAGCAGATCCCAAACCCTCCCTGCTGACCAGGATCCCTCCTGGGATGCTGCTGCTTCCCTTCTGCTTGATGCCATTGCTCCAGAGGATTGACCTCCTGAGCTTTAACATGCAGCACTCAGAGGCTGCTCTGGACTTGTAGTGGGAATGAACCAGCATCCCAGTCCTGTGAAAACATCTATGACACTTGCTGGGATTGCTGGTTCCCCTCCAGCAGGATCCATCCGTGCCCTTTGCCAGCTCCCACAAAGGAGTCTTTTCTCCCAGCTTCCCTCCCTCCTGCTCCAAGAGCCCATGTTGAAAGCCCTTTTGGTTGCCAAGGGTACATTGAACAGCAAAGCTTTTTGGGGAATAGAATGTGCCTTGGAGAAAATCCCAACTCCATCCTGGCAAGAGGCTGATTAGGGAAGGATTTGATAGGTTTCTCTTCCTTGCCCAGGCTCAGTGTCACTTTATATTTACAGCATCATTTGTTTGGCTGCTGAGTGGAGGTTTGGGGTTTTTTTTTTTCCTTCTTCTTTTCTTATTACTGTGCATTTATAAATACATGAAAATCAAATTAGGTTTTCAACTCAATTTCCTGCCAAGGCTGTAGTAGATAAAGCAGTTCCTGGCTCCATGGCTTTGCCATGGAAAGGAGGAGGGAGTGCAGCAGGAAAACAGGAGCCTGGAGCAGGGGGAGGAAAGATGCTATGGAATCCTATGGGAATAGGGCAAAACAGTGGGTGTTGGGGATAAAAATAAGAACCTTTCATTCCCATGCCACAGGACAAAGGCTAATTGATGGCATTGAAGATGTAATTCCAGCTCCAATTATTTAGGGAGAGAGGATTTATTTAGGGAGAAGCCTGTGAGGTGGGAGCTGTGCTGCATTTTCCCTCTGGCATTTACAAGTGGCTCCTGGCAGAGGAAGGATTGAGGACACTGTGGGTTGTGAGTGTGGCTGTTTGCATCTTCTCCCAGGGCATCACAAATACTGGAGTGATCCTTTAGGAAATGCCAGTGCCTGAGGGAGGCAACAATGCACATCAGCAACAGGTTCTGCTCTCTGAGCTGAAATAACCTCAGGGAGAGCAACTGGAGATCCCCTGGGACTTGAAGTGAGTGGAAAAATGAAAGCTACAGAGGGACATTGGACAAGGGCATGGACAGGACACAGGGAATGGCTTCCCACTGCCAGAGGGCAGGGACAGATGGGAGATTGGGAAGGAATTCCTTTCTGGGAGGTGCTGAGGCACTGGCACAGGTTGCCCAGAGCAGCTGTGGCTGCTCCATCCCTGGGAGTGTTCCAGGTCAGGCTGGATGGGGCTTGGAGCAGCCTGGGCTGGTGAGAGGTGTCCCTGCCCAGGGCAGGGCGAGGTACTGGATGATCTTGAAGGTCCTTCCAACCCAAACCAGTCTGGGATTCTATGAAGGTGCTGGTGGCATCTCACTGGCCAATTCCCATGGGATAACAGCAGTGTGCCTGCTGTGCCAGGGCAATCCCTCCCTCCTGGACTCAGTCTGCCCTTCCACAGGCATCTGACTCTGCTTTCCACCTGCTCTAAGTTCTTCTGAGCTTGGAGCAGCTCCTGTTAGACCCAGGCTTGACCATGATGGTGCAGATCTGCCTCTGTGGCCTTCCAGGTGCCACACAGAGTTAGGGATCACAGAGTCATAGAATCATCAAGGTTGGAGGAGACCTCTGAGATCATCAAGTCCAACCATTAACCTGTCACTGCTGGAACCCCTAAACCCTAAACCTTTAGTGCCACCTCCAGACGCCTCTTAAACACCTCCAGGGGTGGTGATTCCACCACCTCCCTGGGCAATATTCCAGTGCCTGAATGGATCAGCCTGTGCAGTGCTGGTTGTGAATTCCCTGCTCCTTTGCTCTTCCCCTGCAGGAAGGCCACACACACACCATCCAGACTCTGCTGTCCCTTGGTGCGAACATCCATGCCAAGGATGGGAAGGGCCGTTCTGGTAAGGCTTCTTAGATCCTTCTCCACCCTCTGCATGACCCTGATTGCTCCAGGAGCTGCAGCCCAACCTCCAAATCACCTCCCACTGTGTCTGCTCAGTGCAGCCTGCAGGGAGATGCCAGATGGACAATGCAGACAGCTCTGGGAGCAGCATGAGGGATGAATCCAGGAAGTTTTAGCAGCTTTCATTCACTGTCTTTCTCCTTGCTGGACCTCCTGATATCTGACAGTGTGGTTGAGCCTGCCCTGGGGGTTTCCCTTGAGGGAAGGACAGAGATGCTCCTTGGGGGAAGGACAGAGATACTAATTGGTGTTGCTGATTTCCTGTGTGAGGTATTTCAGCTTTGATCCCACCTTGGGATGAGATTTGGCTGCAATGAACCTGTTGGCAGCACATTGGGTGGACAAATCTAAGGATTACACAAGCTCTTGAGCCTCAATTTCTTAGCAAACAGCCCAGAAATGGTTTATGAGCAAATAATAGCAGAGCTTGAACGTAACTAGTGTTGCCATAGTGACACCAGTGAGATGACACTGCTAGTGTGAGAGGCTGAGGCAGCTCTTGCATCAGCATCTCTGTCTCAAAACCCCAAAAATACATCCAAATGGTTTCAGCCATTGCCAAATTTGGCAAGTTACCAGCCCTGAGGTTTGGTTAATAACACACTTGAGTGGTGACAGTTCTCCTTCCACCCCCTCAGGGAGTGAATCGCAGCTCTGCTGAGCTCATCCAGCCCTGGGATGTGTTTGGTGGCTCCTTGTGCTGCAGCATTGTTGTGTTTGTGTCACTGCGTCTTTGGGAAGCTTCTCAGCCACATTTGGCTCCTGGAACATGCCCTGCGTGTATTATCCATGGGGATCAGGATGTCCCATTAGATATAAGGAGGGAGCTCCTGGCTGGGAGGTGCTGAGACACTGGCACAAGTTATCTAGGGCAGCTGTGGCTGCTCCATCCCTGGGAGTGTTCCGGGCCAGGTTGGATGGGGCTTGGAGCAACCTGGGCTGGTGGGAGGTGTCCCTGCCCATGGCAGGGAGTGGAATGAGATGATCTTTAAGGTCCCTTTCAACCCCAACCACATTCTATGATCCCATGGCTGAGTGTTCCAACTGGGGAAACTCATCTTTCCCCCTCAGTGCATTTCCCTCCACTGGGAATCTGATGTCTGCATGGGAAGTGGGATGAGGCTGAGCCCAGTGGGTGATCCCAACTCCTGGTGTGACATCCCTCTCTCTCTCAGCCCTGCATGCAGCCTGTGCTGGGCAGCAGGTGGCTGCCACACGCATCCTGCTCCGTGCTGGGCTGAGGGATGCTCCAGATGCCACAGGAACACTGGCACGACAGCTTGCAAGGAAGCCAGATGTCATCCAGCTGTTCCAGGAAACTCATGTCAGCACCTGAGATGGCATGGGAAAAAGGGAATCTCCATCTCCACATGGTATGTTGGTTATCACTCAGTAGTCAATAGCAATAGGCAAATACCTGTTTAAAATGATGGGATTTTTCCCAGGACTTGAGCTGAGGAACCAAGTTTGGCAATGACACCATGGAATATTTATGGCTGTTCTTTCTTTCACTTCCAAATTTCAGGGCTGAACTTCACCTCTTGTTGTGCAGCTCCAAGTGCATCCGAACAACTCCAAGGCCTGCAGCTCCCTGAAGCAGAATCATCCAAGGAAGGTTCACTGCTGGGTGACCCCTGAGGACCTTCATGGCTCTTGCTGGGATATTCCACATGTCCTGAAGGAGAAGATCCACCTGGATTGTTGGTTTTCTAGCCTTTCATGGACCTGCTCTCCATTCATCTCAAAGACAGGACAAGGACAGGGAGTGTTTGAACTTCATCAGCCTCCTCTATCCTTCTTGTAGCCCAAACCTGATCCCCAAACTTGCTGAAATCAATAGTAGGACCTCAACCTTGTGACGGCATCAAGGAACTTTGGACCAGAGTGAGACAAGGAGGTATTTGTTACTCCAGACAGCTTTGCTGGGCACTTCTTACCTCTGAGGAAGGTTAAACCCCAACAATCTGCTCTCTGAAGTGTAGTGTCTTCATCTCTGTGTAATGGGAAGACATAAACCCAAGAGGAATCTGTGGGTTTTGGGGCAGGAGATGTTAAAACCCACAGGGAGTGAGTGAAGCTCTCCCCTGCCCAAGCCATGGTGCTCATGGCATGGTGTGACACACAACCCATGTGCTCCTGGGTGGGTTTAAGATGATACTGAGCACTATTAGAGTGGGAAATTCCCACCCTGCCACCCCTGGAGTGGGATTTGCCATGAGGACCACAGTGTCATTCTCGTCTCATAGAGCCTTTTTGGCAGGGTTGGGACCTCCTCTACCACAAGGAGGAGACTAACCAGAGGAAGGACAGGCCAAGTGCTCCCAAAAATCATTTGGGGGCTTATTTTTCCGTTCTTCCCATGTTCCCATGTCTTGTTTCTCCATCTGTGAAGGAGATTCTTCACCAGGGATTAAAAAGGAATTAATACTGGAAGGTGCTAAGGGGTGGTGGGAGCTGAATCAGCTCCTGGATGGGCAAGGAAGTGGTTTTATTCCTCTAAAAATCCTGGATCCTTCCATAAATCCAGTCCTTGCTCCATCCAGCAACCTGAGAAATGCAAGGGGCTGCCTCATTCCCACTTTTTATGGTTTTAGTAAGCCAGGAAATAGCTGTTTGCTCCCAATGTTCCTCATAACTATCTTGGATTGCCAATGAGCTTGAGGAAAATTAGTGGGAATGTTTCAAATCCCTGTGTGGAGCTCTCCTGGCTATGGAAACACCTTGAAAACACTAAAGGGAATGTGCAAAAGTGTTAGAAAAGCAACATGGATTCAGCTTTGTGCCCAGAAAATTCACCCAGGGAAGGGCCTTTCCCATTTTCCTTGCTGGTTTCCCTGTTGTTCCTCACTTCAGGGATGGAAGAAGGAGTCAGGACAGCTCCGTGTCCGTGAGGACGTGCTGGGAAGAGCTTGGCAGTGCCAGACTGTGTGTGTGGATCCCATCCCATTCCTGGCAGCCTCTCCCAGTGCCTCGTCCCCAGGGATTGAGCCAGGAGCTGGGCTTTGTGCCACAGGGAGCTGAGGGAAGCTTGGAGCAGGGCCTGGCACTTGGCACAAGGCTTCAGTGCTGTCTTACTCCACCTCTTCCACCCTTGGTGCTGGGGCAGGCACTTCTGGTCTGCAGCATCCAAGGACAGTCATGGAATCATGGAATCACAGTGTGGTTTGGATAGAAAGGACCAGTCAACATTCCTACTGCAGGTGCTTCCACACAGCCTTGAGTGCTCCAGGCCAACCTGCAGCTACCAACTCCTGCCCCATCCCAAGCTGATGACTTTTCCAGGAGAATTCCTGGTGGTGGCTGTTGCAGAGTGATGATTGTGTGATGCTCAGGGATCACAGAGTCAAATCAGGATGGGAAAGACCTCTGAGGTCATCAAGTCCAACCTCAAAATGTTGGAGAACCTACAAATGCTGGATGTTGGAGAAGAGGTAGAAAACTTCTACCTGCTGCTTGGCCAGCAGATATGGGACATCCCTAAAGGGTCCAACACTCCCACCTGTTCCTGGATGCTCCTGGCATCACCTCATCCATCTCTCCAACCTTTCCTCCTCCAAATATCCACTTCATTCCAAAGGAAGAGCTCTGCTCCCACTCCAAGCCACCACCATGGGATTTTGACCATGTGATGGAGCCTCACATGGTTCTCCATCATTCCCAGTGCTGCCCCTCTGTGCTGTGTCCTGGTATCCACAGGGAACACAGCCCTAGGATCGGGTTAAGATGTCTTAAGCCCCACTGGTGCCTAATCCACCCCTGAGAGCTGTAAGCAGCTTTGCTGTGGCTGCTGTGGACGTGCTCCCCCCTGGATTGCTGATCCATAGGGTGCTCCAACCAGCATAGAGTGGGGAAATTCCTGCCTTGGAAGGAATTCCTGCCGAGGAAGCTGTGGGTGGTGGAGACAGGGATTAAAAAAACCCTCTTAAATGCAAGAAAAACTTCAGTCTTGGCAAAAATCCACTCAGTTCTCAGGGCATTTTCCATACCAAACATGATCCTGAGGGAGAGGAAAACCTCTTCCATGTGTTTTTTTTTGAGGGGAGGGAAAGGGGGAATGAGAGCGGTGCCGTGGGTGGGAAGTGAATGCCATGGGTAGGAAGGGGAAATACACAGTAATTAGTGGTGTTTGTGGGGGTAATTAGCTAAGTGCTGCTGTTCAAAGGGCTTCGTCAGCCCTGGGGTGGGATGGAAAAGCAGTGGCTGGGAGGGAGGACTTGGGATCCCCTTAAATTGAGGACCCCCCAAATAGAGAAGACCCCCTAAATTGAAGGCCCCCCCTGAATTGAGGAACCCCAAACTGGGGACCCTCCCAAACTGAGAAACCCTCCGACTAGAGGGCACTTCTCACACTGAGGACCCCCTCAAATAAAGATCCCCCCCAAAATTGAGGACACCCCCCAAAGTAAGGACTCTCTCAAACAGAAGACACCTCCCCCCTAAATGAAGCTCCCCCTAAACAGAGCAAATCCCCAAACAGAAGATCCTCCCCTAAACTGAGGACCCCACAGTTCTGCTCCCCCATCGTGTTGGGGGGTGAGGCTGAGGCTTGAGGCAGAAGATGAGGATGGGGATGGGGATGAGGATAAGGATGATGATGGGGATAAGGAGGATGACAATGAGGAGGAGGAAGATGAGGCTGGGGATAAGGATGATGATGGGGATGAGGATGAGGACGAGGATGGGGATGATGATGAGGCTGGAGATTAGGATGAGATGATGGGGATGAGACTGGGGATGATGGTGAGGACGCTGGAGATGGCGATGAGGATGGGTTTGGGGATGAGGATGGGGATGAGGATGATGAGGATGAGGGTGATGTTGGGTTTGGGGATGAGGCTGGGGCTGAGGCTGGGGATGATGAAGATGACGATGATGATGGGCAGGAGGAGGATGCTGATGCTTATGATGCTGAGGAGGGGGCTGAGGCTGGAAATTATGACGATGACGATGATGATGGGCAGG